TATATTCAGAACAGGATTTCCATATCCAGTGTGCAATTTTTGAGGCCCCACCAACTGACAAATATTAGATATGAATGTACACAACCACATGCATAAGCATCAAAAGGAGACAATACAAGCTCAACAGTAGGAGGGTTATCACTGTGGCTGATTGGGGTGCTTCACATTTAACTTTTAGAGATCAGTTAGATTAGAGAAAGGTGTCATTTGATCTTCCATTTTTCCACAGATGCTGCCAAATAGTTTTCTAAATCAGTCCCAAATGTGGCCTGGTCTCTGTGTTGGGCCAGTGTGAGTATAGTAGTGGTTTTGTTCTTCCTTACTACCTTTCCTTCTCCCCCCATGCTTCCTCCCAGACTTTGGGGTGAGGGCACTGAGCCCCAGATTATTGCACAAGTTAGACAAAACAAAGCTCCAATGTGCACTAGATATAATAACCTGCAATGTCTCCCCTGTCATCCCAAATTACTGGAACACACTGTGTTTGAGCCTTGCCTACCTACACTCCTGCCTGTTGGAGAGCAGGACTGGTGCAGAGTCAGGTATCAGCTCCTTGCTGAAATGTGCTTGCATTGCGTTGTGCTTGTCTCCAAGGTCATGGGCAAATGGTGCTCATGCTGATCACCTGCAGGGTTCTTCATGAATTATGTGGCTTCTTAAAAATGTCTGGGGAGTTGCTGAATGTATCCAGTAACACTGGGGAGATTGGTCACTGCCAGCAAGCAAGTCAGGCACACAAGACATCCCAACAACTAGCTGGTGCTTTCAGCAGTGGCATGAATCCATTTGGAGCTGTAGGGAGGAAATCTTTCCCTCTGCACCAGGCTGCCAAGGCTGTGCATTTGGAAGATACGATTTGTTTAAAAAATAACTCTTCTATGACATGATATTGAAGTCATTTCTGAAAAGATCTCGGATATGCATTCAATAAACTCCCTATCATGGGGAGATAGGTCTTTGGTGATGTCATTGATTGCTTGCTTTCTTAATGAAGTTAATTGTAACTTTGGTCTTTTATCTTTCTAGTGGGTGTTGAGAAATACTGAAGGCCGCAATGGGTGGGCTGTGCAGTCAAATACTCTCCAGGCTCTTCTGTGCAAGACACTTCACTGCTGCAGTCTCAGCTGATGGGAATTTATGAGCTAAGGTACTGTTTCGGCACTATAGTTCTTATAGTCCTAAAATAAGACAAATCCCTTGAAATGGTTTATATAATAGGTCTTTGAAAATTCATCTCAACCAGGCAGAAAAAAAAGACCTTTCTTAAAGTGTACAGCAAATGCCAACAGCTACATGACCATGAGTATTTGAAGGTATACACTCTTCGTTTGGATTAGGTTGGCCAAGAAGAAAACATTTTCCAGAACCACATGGTGAGGGAATCCACACCTACAATTTTATTGCAGCCATTTGCTCTCGTTAGCCATGGGTTTTTTCTTCTCTTTACCCCATAAAAAAGCCAGCAAGTGTGGCAGAATCCTATGGCCTGTCACACCACCAGTGAAGACCAAACCAGATATTTTTACAGTACTTTCTTGAAGCCTGAGTATATGAGTTTGGAGAAAACATTGCGGCAAGAACTCAAAGGGATTGAAAGGGCTTGTTCTGTTTTTATTTGGCTTGCACAATGTAATTTTTTGCTTGCAGTGATATTATTTAATGATGGTCATGGCAGAAGTAACTCCTAGTGTCAAGCAAACTTTTGCTAGACACTAGGAAAAAAAGTCTGGTTTAGTCTTGCATTTATTTTTAATCTTTTTTAAACAGGCATCAGTGTTCAAGAGAACAACTGAAAAGTCAAAGTTCAGAGCCTCAACTGCACCTCTACTCCACTTTCAGATGTGAGCTGACTAACGCAGCTAAGGACAGAGATGTAAGTGGAAAAGAACATGCATCATTTTATACATATGAATATTCAGTAAGATATACACTGTTCTAAGAGGATGAGTAAATCTTTACAATGGCAGTTGCCTAATTCACTTCTTAGAGCCTGTCTAGAGATTATGCTTCCAAAAGGGCAATTTGGAGCAAGAGACTTGGAGAATAAGACTAGAAAGTCATGGCGTGTTCAATAGGGAAAACATAAACACAGGGATCCAGGAGGCTGTAGAAGTGGAAAATAGAGATATAGTAATAGGCACTATGGAGAGATTAGTGAAGATAGATACATGAAGGGATTACAGTTAAGAAATATGCAACACTTTTCTGCCCATGTCTAGGTCACATAACTGAGCTATGTGAGTGGCTTCCATATCAGGGTGCACTGTACTCAGCTAGGGGTGCGTGGTAACAACATGGCATCTGGATGTTATGCGGTGGAAAATGGCGTGGGAAAGATCAAATTCCCAGAGCCTGAAATGGACTGAAGATAGTGTCTGTCGGTGTCATTGCTTCTTTTTGACGATTGCTTTTGATAATTTCTATTGGTACTATTGCTTCCTTTTTAGCGCACCTAGAGTGCTTTTTTGGGCCTAGAAGTATTCAGGAATGCTTGAGTATTGTCAAAGGTGATGGAAAGAGATATTCCATAGTTTAAAAGTACAGACTGTTAACAAAGATCTTTTGGTAGAATGCAGCCTGTATCACTGCTAATCTACCGAAAATGTTAATCCAGAAGCAGAGGGTCCAAAATCAACCCAGGAATCAACTCAGGGAAATTTTCTTCCAGTGGTCACAGTGTGAGAATAATCACTGCCACCTTTGTATCATAGGGATTTCATATCTTTCAACAGACTTTTCTATCATCCTTGCAGTAGTGGTTTGTGAAATGAATGAGGTCCCATAAGTGAAAACATAAGTAAAGTAAGTGACCTTCATACACAGAGGTATAAAATAACAAATCAAGCATCGCAAGAAGCCAGCAGTGCAGTGTGCACAGATGGAAGCAGACAAAATAAATTAAACCAATGCTGATATCTGCTGTATCCCCCAGTATCCCAGAGGCTCTGAAAAGTCACCCTCTTTTTTTTTCCACTTGCTTATATTCATATTTTTTAAAGTCCAGAATCTTCTTGATTGATGTTTTCCTTGTTATTTTATGACAAATTGAGGGAAAGACTACTATAATTTCAGTAACTAATTGAGGTAATAATTTAATCATGTTAGATGGCAAAACTTTTATATTTTCAGTAGTAATTTTTACTCTGTTTTGTGCTCTGTAATTTGAGATTAAAGCCACTTTTTTAAACCATCATCTTAAAAGTCTGAACAAAAAAGAACTTATAAAAGGAAGTAGCTGAATGCTAGTTTCAGGATGTTTTTATTAGAATACTTTTAGAAGAAATTGTTGGTGAAATATTGTTCTTGTAGCTCAGTTTTCCTTACTACTGAGAAAAATCAGAAGCAGAAAAATAGGTGGTTTTTGGTCACACCACAAATCTAGAGAATTAGGGCTCACTCTCTGCTTACCACTTCAACTCATAAAATGTGTAGGCTCATCACTTAGCTCAGTGGAGTTGCTCCAATTAGCTGGAAGCAGCACCAGCCTGTTCACCCAGTTACTTCCAACCAGATGTATAAGCCCATAGTCTGCCTGTCCATACCTGTGTCCCCAGTGCCAACAGGAAGGAGCCAACACATCCTTCTGTAAGAAGAATACAGCCACGATAGTGTCTCACATCGGAGATTTCTTTATCGCAGAGTTTGATGTGGTTTATAATGGCACAGAAGTGCCTTTCTATGTAAATTCTAGCATCAAATTCACACTGAACTCAACAGATTCAAACCAGGGAGGAATTTGAACAATACATCTAGAGTAGAAAAATCAGAAACAGAAAACCAGGGTGGGTTTTGTTGTTTGGATTCTTTTTCGTTTCATTTTGCTGTTTTATATGCTGAGTTCCCAGAGTTTTTGGAAGTTTGAATGCCTCTACCAGGGGAGAGACCCCAGCAGAGGCACCAACTGGACAGTTTTGTATACCTGGTCCCATGTTTTCACCTAATGCATGTGTGACATTTGACATATAGCTAACCACATATACAGCTACACAGCTAGCTGTCTATGCAAACAGCACTGCATTAACATTTTTCTTTCCTGTCTTCATTGTTTTCTGTGCCCTGCCATTACCCATGGGGTCCTAAAGTTACAAAAAGCACTTACTGCTGCATGAATATGTCAAAACTCCAAAGCAGAGTAAAAGCTGGGTTACTGCCCTAACAATTCAACCAGCTGAAACATTCTATCTGTTGTAATCAAATGTGCCTGTCTCATTACCACGCTTAAGCAAGCAGCTTAATAGGTGGCTTAGTCCAAGGGCGTACAACACAATACAAGAAAACCCTGCTTTGTAGATCGTCTCATGAAAAGCAAACCATAGATCATGTCCTGGAAGGTGTTTACAGAATAGCTCTAGGTCTGACCTGAAGATCAGGTTGGTTTTCAGCCTTAGGATTCCTTCGGCTTAGTCGCTTGTCGGTGCTCCCGTGCTGCCCAGAGCACTGTTTTCCCGGAGAAGCCGCAGTGTCCTCTGGTGGCTGGTACCCTGCTGTAAACCCTGCGGGCCTCCACCGAAAGGAGGGGGGTGTCGGGACTGCAAGCTGCTGAGACAAATAACGGTGGGTTTCATTTTGTAAATCAGATAGTGGGTTTTTTTTTTTGCCATGCAGTATCTTACTTTCCTTGCAAGCATCCTTGTTATTCAAAATACCCTGTGATTAATGAAAATGCTCGAACAGATCCTTCAAAGCGTGGCCTCTCCTCTTGGGTCCCTGCAGTGGCCCTCATGCTCTGGTGCAACCGTGGCATTCCTACCGCTGTAAGGGGGCATGACAGGACAGGCTCAATGACTTCTGCCGTGAGATTTTCATAACGATGGGTTGTGTCTGGGAAAGCTTGTAACTCAGCTTGCGTGCACCCACATCACACAGTGCTGTGGGAGCTGCTTTTGCCATGAGGGCTAAGATTACAGAGCAGCTTCCTCCCAGCCTCGTGACTCCACGCGTGCACGCATGCACATTTCCAAAATACTCTGTTCTAGGGTATGAGGGGTATTTATTTTGCCAGAATATTCAGCAAAATCTTTTGAGCTTGCTGGGGGTGGTGAAAGGATAGCAATGATGCTTTTCTTGCTAGTCGAAAAAACCCAACCTCTGCTTATTTCAGCAAGCAAGAAATAAAACTACTGTGGGTCTCACAGTGTGTCTCTTCACAGGCCTCCTCTTCTCCAGTCATACTCCTCTTTCCCAAAAGCATTGTTTTCACTTTCCCCACTGCAAAACTCTCTCTTCTCTCTCTCTCCTTTCTACCAAAGCTGTTCTTCCTTTTCCTAGAAAATCCTTGCTTCTCACTTTTTCCTCAGTCTTTTAAATACCAACTGCTCCCCGGCTCGGTTCTTCCCTATTCCACCCCAAATGAGTGGAATTTGGCCCCATATCGACCTCCTGGACAGGACCCCAAACTCAGGGTTCACAGGAGTGCCCATCTGAGGATTTCAGTGCAAAAGGCACTGTTTTATTCTCTTCCATACCATTTTAAGCAAAGGGCTGGATTACCCAGATAATGACAGTATTTGAGCCCCAACGATCTCACAGTTTCTGTAATGAATTGGCTGGAGTATTCCTGAGAGCTGCACTTTGCTAAAGCCCCTGCATTGATTATCATTTTATTCCATTAGCACGACATTTCAGTGGAGTCAAAACCTCTCTCTTCACGCTGCCTGTCACTCAGATGAGTGAAGTTGGCCCATTTGGATGTCAGAGAAGGATATCGTCCTGTTACTTTGTGCTATCTTTCTCTGTTTGTAAATTTTGTCTTCGGTTACTTTAGCCTTCATGAAGTGGGAGTAGCCGACATTTTAAGTCAATCTCTTTGTAACGTCTCTAAATTAAACACTCCATCTTGTTTGTTAGTTTGGTTTATCTTTACTGTCATCTACCATGAAGCTACAAACTTCACATGCTTTCAGAAAACAAACATGACTGACAGCAATCGTTATACAGAAAAGCTGAAGCAAGCCATGCTTTGATGGATTTTCTGTTAGGATTCATAATAGCATGGAGTTAAAAGAAAGAAAATAGGTGCTTTGGAGCATAAGATCGTAAAATGCTAATTTCAGTGACACAGTGGTGGACTGAGTAAATATAGAAAGGATTTATTATGAAGTTCTTTAGTGTTGTTGGCACTAGCAGCAAATTGCTGGGCAGCATTATATCGCCAAAATCCAGGAAATAGCACAAACATTGAACCACTGTATTTTCAATGACAATAATGAGAGAAGCTTTGGTATTGGTTGGCATCCCCACAAAAGGCACATGTTGGCATGTTCAGGAATGTAAATGATAGATCTGCTGCTTGAAGTTTATAATTATTTAATCAAACCCAGACTGCAGAACCTGGAGGGACAGCGTGTATCCTTAGAGGAGAAGAAAGAGGGAGAGAAAGAAAGGTCATACTTTGCAAATGACGGAATGTATCAGTGCCCTGGGTGTGCCTACCATGAATATGTGACTGCTGCAGAATTTGTGGGTGATCTTTTCTGCTTGCTACATCACCACGTATTTAAGTAGCCCTGCAGAAAGCAAATTGCCGACAATCTCTTTTATGTGCTGATGGAAGGCAGATCAATTATCTCCACTTCCTTTCATGGAAGAAAGAAAATCTACAGATCAGAACAGGAAACCACTCATTTGATGAACTATTTCTACACTACTGTACACACACACATACACAAGTTCCCCCTTTCTCTCCTGCAAACAGACATGCATACAGCTAACAAGCCCTCTCTCTTCTAGACACACAGAGAGGCACATTACTTTCAGCTCACATTTCATGTTCAGATTATTGCAACTATGGAATTTCAAGAAGACTTATTTTGTTTCTATTTTTTGTAAGGAAAAAAAAAAAAAGATAATGAACATTCCGTCTTCAGAAATAAATCTCCCAGCACTGTATGTTCTGGCCGGTAACAGGCTGAGTAGCAGAGGTCTGCTATGTTCCCAGCCTGGGCTTTGCTGCCGACTCAACTTTCAATTTAGTCCTAGCGTGATGGAAAAAGAAAAAAGCCTTTCAAAAGCAGTAATTGTGTGTTTCTGGGGAGAGAGAACAAATTACTAAATCAAATTAGCATTACATTTCATTCCTAGACCCTAGGAGATTCAAGGATTTACATAAGATACTTTCTTAAATTATGTTGTTAGTGTAAACATTAAGATTCTGCACAAGACCCTGAGAAGCGATGCATTGTTAGGTGATGTCATCGAGCACTATTTTTTCTTAGAAAAAGGAAGAAATGCCTTAGATGCACATATCAACATGATTGCTCTATTTTTAAAAATAAAATGCAGGATTTAATTGTATTCTGAAGGGTTTAATGTCATTAATCCATTCACTGTGTGTGCTAGGAATACTTGCATTGTTTTTTTTCTTTTCTCTTCTCACAGACAAAAATATTTCCTGTAGGGCATTCATGGCTGGAGAAGATGAAATCCAGGCCCCACAGAAGGCTGTTGAAAAGTTACCATGGATTTCTGTCGGGTAACCATTTGACTCCAGTAGGCTAAATAAGGGTCCTCAATGTTACTTCATTTCCCTCCCAAATTTCTGTATCTAATAACATCTTCCTTCTTTTCTGTCACTAAATTCTCTGTAATTCTATTTCAGTTTATCAATTTCTTTTTTGCATGCTGAGGTAGAGCAAAGTTGCCGTGTGGGGCTCTGCAGGACATTACTCTCCTATGGGCAGCAATGGTCTGGCCGCTGCCGCAACCAGCTGTGTGGCACTGGGCTTCCTTCAGCTCAAGTTTAAACCTCACTCTGCCAAAAAAAAATAAAAATAGGTGCAATGGTCAAAATAAAAATAAATTAATTAAAAAAAAAAGACTTCTTTTTCTTAATTTTATAAGTTTTGGATCCATTGAACTGTTGCAAATGGTAAAATGAGAAATGAAGCAAAATTGTACTTGTGTCTTAAGACATGTAAAGGACAGTCAGTGCAATTGTTGAATTAGAACTACCCCATTTGAAGAGCTAAGCCACAATGGCATAAAGAAACATGCAACTTATATTATTTTTTTTTTAAAGATGACTTAGTCATAAAAAACAAAGCATTAAAACATATCCAAGCTGAAAAGGTTCAGAACTGTACAAAATGATTATATTGTTGTTTTATTTTAAATTGAACTAAACAGTTTTGTGAATTCTAGGACTCTCTGTATATGTTTTCTGTGTTTCTGACAATAAATGCTCCCCGCAAATTTATGCAATAATATGTAATATATTCAGGAAAACTAATTATTGAAGCAATTTATGTTTAGAAAGTTATCTCTAAAGCCAGAGGGATAGAAACATTTTGTGTAATAAGAACTCGCATCCCACACATAATTTCTTTTATTTAATCTACCTGTGCACAGAAACCTATTATTAAAAAAAATAATAATTGGCAAAACAAATTCAGCAGTTAAAAGGCATAAGAAAAGTATGCAAATTGTGAAATAAACAGCTAAAATTACAGGCATTTAAAACTCCTTTATTAAAAATAATTATAAAGCTAAAAGTTGTGTGCTTACCATAGTATGCTATTTAAACGCACCCTTCCACTACCATGCAATTTATGTTAATAGAGTATTGGGTAAAAATGAGCAATGACCTATTCTTCTTATTATTTTTGGGGGGGGTGGAGGGTGTCTTTTCTTGAAAGGGATTGTAGAATTTACATTTCCTGGGTTTTCTTGGTTTGTCAGCAGTAAGGCTATCTCTGTCATTTACATTTTTTGCATTTAATGATTTTCTCAAGCACAATAAGAAATTTTTTTAGTTCTCCTTTTAAAATCTTCAGTACTGATAAGAGGTTCTAAATAAGATCTATGATAAAAGAAAGATATGGGTTGATTTTACAGTTCAGAGTTCTTTTAAATATAAATTAATTAATTAAAAAAAAAACCAACAAACAAAACCAGGATCACTTGGGAAAGCCTTCACTCATTGATTAATGTGTAAAGATCAGCCAGACAGGTGAAGGAATATCTACAATATCTGATTATATTCATATGAAAAACATAACCCATGCACATTTTTTTGTGTGTTGCGGAAATTTCCATTTCCTGCTAAAGTTTCTGGGTGCGCTGCTTAGCTGCCGGTCTTTCTCAAAGCCTGAAATTTCAAATGAGGCAGATCCATTACCCAAATACATGTGCTCTCTGCAGCTGATCCCAAGTCCAGCAAAATCAAGGGGAGACCATGCGTGAAGATCAGACATGCCAGCTGCTCCACGCAGGCACCACTTCACTGAAACTGAAGCCACATCACTTCACACCAGAAGTAATGCTGCACAAAGGTTGGTTTTCGCTAATACTTTAAAACCAGCTGAATTTTTCAATGCACAGAAGCTCAGTATTTGAAGCATGTAGAACATCTATTTTGTATGTCAATAGGTTCAGTGCTAATAATACGTCAAACTGTATGCCTATGACATACCTAGACACTGCCTTGGTATGACCAGGGGCCATGCATTAATAAAATCAAGAGACCTGGGGTTATTTATTAGACACCTATGCTCAAAAAAATGTGTTTCCACCGCAATGATTTCTTTTTTTCTTTCTTATATTTCCTATAAGCCTTCCTCTAAGCTACTTGCTATGTTTGTGATTTTTTTCAAATGCCATCATTGTGACTATGTCAGCTTTTCTATCCAGCAGTCAGAAAGTCTACACAATTCCTTTCTGGTTGTCCAAGAGTGCTGTGTGCACCAGCAGTCTGTATTTGGGGAATTAAAAAAATGTAATTATATGCTTATATATCTTGTGTCCCTAACTCATTTGCTGATAAGTAGCTGCCAGTGTTTAGTCCTGGATTCTTGATCCTCTCCAGCACCAGGAGATTTGTGTGTGGCAGGGGGAGTTTTGGCACATTCCCAGAGAGGTGCCAGCTATGCTTGAGCCAGCTGCGCTTCTCCCTTCTGCTTCTGTATCACTGCATGCATCTTCAGACACTGATGTTGTTGACAGCAAATATGTAGCTTAGTTTGTATTACAGCAGCTTTAGATAAATTAAGGCTCCTCTGTTAACAGCCATCTTCCTTTTGCCATTTAGGACAAAATTCGTTCTTCAAAGCACACTGCTTGGTTGAAGCATTTGTGTGCAACTGTTACCTGAAATTTTGTCTTACAAGATTTCACTTTGACAAGCAGATATAGAGTACACAGTATTTTAATGTGGTGTATTTATATCAGATGTATACATAGCAATTCATCCATATCTCTGTGTATCAGAGAGTTTTGTGTATAATGTAAATAGCACAACTTTTCCAAACAGCACTTATGCTTCAACAGCCTAAATCTCCATTCATCGTATGTTAGCAACATGAACAAGTTTCTCCAACCCTTCAACCCAGAAAGTTAAACTTGTGGTTGAGAGGTGAACCCTAAATTAATGGCATGGTCTATGCTGATGTCACTGGACATGACAGTAATTCCACAGCATAAAACTCACCCAATATAATATCAACACACACAAGACTTCAGACAAAGTTTAAACTGAACCCTTTTCTATGAAGAGTAGTGTTTCACAGTCGAATTATTTTGCAGAAATGTGCTTATATAAACAACAATGCTGATGCGGAGAGACCTACACTGTTCTTTCAATTTCTTTTAATAAGAAAGACATTACAATATGAAATGTTTTATCATTTTAATTAATCCTCTTGGATTTTTAGACCATATTACTAATTATACCTGTTTAACATTATAGCATAACACAATGATGAAGAACATTCAAAATAGAATATTTCATTGGCTGTAAGCCATAATGTTTTGTGGCTTTCAGTCTCATATATATATATATATATATATATTAATGTTTCAGCTCATGTTTAAGCCTCGCAATAATTAATTTTTTTTTCCAGAAGAGCCATTGAGTTGGAAGTTCTGATTTCTGGTCATCTTTAGAAAACACAACATCAATATTAGGAGGAAATCCTTTGCAACTCTGAAGAATGTAGTCAAAATTTTATATATGTAGTCATATCCTTTCTCTGTGACTCAATTTGCCCTATTGTAAAAGGGAGAAAGATAGGCCTTCCATTGTAAGATACTTTGAGATTTACTTATGATGAATTGCTTTTGGAAAATTGTTTTAATCTCTTCTATTATGCTCTTCTTTTTCTTTACCCATCAGATTTTCAGAAGCATGGAGCTACCCAAATGCTGACTCATCTGCTGAACCTTGAGGCAACTTCCTGCCTAAAAAAGTCTTTCCATCATTTCACCTGATTTTTCTGACTGAGCATGTATTGTGCTAGCATTTACCTGACTCAGTTACTCCAGACACGGCTGTAAGTACCCTCATCAGCTGGAGCAAGAGCTAGATCATGCAGACAACCTTGCTCTTTACTAAATATTGCAGTGTGTGCTATAGGACAGACAAGACCAGGATCATGGACTTTATTTTGAATCAAAATGGGTTTTGGCTGCACACAGTTAGATGCAGCCTTTTTGTAACTGAAGTGTGGACATCAGACAGCACAAACACATGCTTTTACTTAGGCAAAACCATGCAAATGCACCTGGCATTACCTTTTGAACTCTCCCTAAATACATAGCATGAGCTAACTGCGCATTACACTAGTCTATGTATACACTCAATGGATAATGTTTTGTTACATGCTTAAAATCAGCCCTGTAGAGAAATTGAGTGCTGTTGGATGAACTAGCTTGCACAAACAAAACACACTGGAGATTTTGGCTATCCTCTTGGTCTAGAAGATATCATTGTGTGGCAAGTGCCAAGGGTATCTTAGAGATAACAGCCAGAAACCTGGGAGGACAGGATGTGCAAGGCACTTAAAAATCTTATAAGGTTGCTGTTGAAACTAAAAAAATAGCAAAACTGCTGTTACAGTCCTATTTAAATTCTACTCTGCACTCTTTTCCATTATGTTTGAAAACCTGGTAGGAGTTCAGCAGCCTATCAAAAGAGAAAAAAAGGAAAAAAAAAGATTACTTTTCTGCAAGTGGGAGGACCAACAAGATTGCAGCAGCTGGACATCTATTACTCCAGACTACATTGTACAGAGCTAAAATGAATCTTCCTGCAGAAAGGTAATCAAGGTGGAAGAGAAAAAATGGGTTCATTAACAATCCCCGTCACTAAAAAGTCAAATAATTTTTCACTCTCAGTTGAGTCCAATTACAGAGATATTATTAGAAATTGTTTTTTCTGTGATAGCTCTGGTGGTGGGGTTATTTTGGCACTTTGCTTACTGCTCACTTGCATTGCACCCATTGCTGAGTGGAGATTAACACCTGTTACTGTTTTAACAGAAAATGATGAATGGTGCCATTACTGGCACAGTTTTATGTGAACAAAATTAAGCTTGTGTGTGTTAACTTTTGTAGTTACAGCAATTACCACAATTACTTTCAAATTATAGCTTACGCAGACTCTGCACCAAAGCTGAAAAACTGAGAACAACCATCCTCCCATTTTCTTGGAGAGGGCTGTAGGCATAATGCAAACTACAAGCTTGCTCCATGCCTCCCTTGACCCAAGGGAAAGCTATAAAATACACCCCTCATTTTGCCCTCTCAGCTATTGATTTTCATAACTCTGCTCTAATATATGTATAAGGCTCTCACATTTCAGTTTAAAGCTACATTTGACACAAATATGAAATGGATATTTATAAAGCTTGATTCAAATCTCCAGTGCTTATCTGGATTTTTGAAACCTGACCCATGTGACTGAATTAATGGGCACAGTTATACTTTGGCTTTAAATATACATATCAGCTGTACCCCTAGTTATAATTCATCTCACCTGGTGTTGACTGTTGAAGGTTTGAGTTCCAGTCTAAGTTGCTCATAGAGGTTTCTTCTGTAGTCACTGGGGATCAAGATGTGTTAATCCACCAAAGATAGGCAGCTGATATTAATGAGATCAGTTGCCATCCAGAAGTGCCTATTCCTTTCCTTTGACCATAGAGGGAGCCAAGACAACTGGTTTGCACCAGAAAGCTGAGCTTTTAAGATTGAATTCAAAGCCATCTTGATGAGGTCAAGGAAAATTGCCATCCTCAGATAGTCACTGCCTTTCAGCTGGACCAGATAATTAAGCAGTCGCCTAGTGCACAGTACCATGTTCTGCTGGATAAAATTCACTATTAAAAGAGAGGTGCCTCTGAAAGCATCTTTTCTGTTTCTCTTGTTGGCAGGCTGGGTTCCTCATAGTGAGATTTGCAAAAATCATAGCCCATACTTTCTGAAATGTGATATGTAAAAATGTAGTGGTTGAGATCTAATAATCCTTTAGATTATTAAAACTATGGCTAATAAAAACATTAATGACATTTAAAAAAATTTCCCGCAGCTATCCATGAAACTCAACATCCTGTCTCAGTTCTATGGTGAGACCAGAAAAAGTATACTTGTGATTTAATCTGATGTAAAATGTTCTTTAAAATACTTCACAGAAAAGTTTTTCTTGCAAACAAATAGATTTTCCAGAAAGAAAAAACCTAAAACAATTCCCATATCACATTTCTTGGAACTAATTTTCCCCATTCATACAAACCAACCATTTTATCTTCCTGTTGACAGCATTGTGTTTTCTTTTTTTTTTCTAGTACATTTGTAGCATGTGGATCAAAGGTTTATGGATTCTTGTCTTTTCTTGAACCCACAAGCAAAGTAGCAACACAGCCAAGTTTTAAAGGTTTGCAAATCATTAAGAAACAAAGCAGACAAAACATATAGTGTTCCCAAGAGACCTGAGACTTGAAAGCATCTGTGTTGTGATGTACGCACACAAAATCTGTTGGGACTAGACTTAGTTGTTTAGTATGACTTGGAATGCACAATGATTCAGATCTCCTGCTGTAACGTTAAGGAATCAGTCTATATATTTTGCCACAAATCCCCCCAAAACTGTGTCTGTAATAGAGTTGAACCTGTCCATTACTCTGGTCTTAATTTCAGATTTTAGGACACTAATCTCCATTCAGATTTTATGTGCATGTCTTATAATACATGTCCTACTTGAACATAAACTCTGCAGGGGTTTCCTAGGTTTTGGTTTCTTTGCAGATCTTACATGGAGAATCTATCCTTACTGAAGTTAGTGGGGCTTTGCCACTGCCTTCAGGATTTCATTCCTGTTTCTTCCTGTTTCCCTGCTGTGGTCCTCTGGCCTCTTTTCCTTCTTGCTCCACCTGACAATGGTTAGCTTGACTCCACACATTGAGCAAGGGCAACATCAGGCAGGAAACTGGCACATGCTACCACATGCAACAACTTCTATGATGGGGCTACGGAATGGATGGACAGGGGTAGAGCAGTTGATGTCATCTACCTGGACTTGTACAAACTGTTTGACACTGTCCCACACAACATCCTTGTCTCTAAATTGGAGAGACATCAATTTGATGGATGGACCACTCGGTGGATAAAGAACTGGCTGGATGGCCGCACACAAAGAGTTGTGGTCAATGGCTCAATGTCCAGCTGGAGACCAGTAACAAGTGGTGTCCCTCAGGGATTGGTGTTGGGACTGGTCTTGTTTAACATCTTTGTTGGTGACATGGGCAGTGGGAGTGAGTGTGCCCTCAGCAGGTTTGCCGATGACACCAAGCTGTGTGGTTCGGTTGATACCCTGGAGGGAAGGAATGCCATCCAGAGGGACCTTGACACGCTTGTGAGGTGGGCTGATGCCAACCTCATGAAGTTTAACCATGACAAGTGCAAGGTCCTACACCTGGGTCAGAGCAATCCCAGGCACAGCTACAGGTTGGGCAGAGAAGAGATTCAGAGCAGCCCTGTGGAGAAGGACTTGGGGGTGCTGGTCGATGAGAAACTGAACATGAGCCGGCTTCAGTGTGTGCTCACAGCCCAGAAAGCCAACTGTATCCTGGGCTGCATCAAAAGGAGAGTGACCAGCAGGTCAAAGGAGGTGATCCTGCCCTTTACTCTGCTCTTGTGAGACCTCTCTTGGAGTATCGTGTGCAGTTCTGGTGTCCTCAACATAAAAAGGACATGGAACTGTTGGAACAAGTCCAGAGGAGGGCCACGAGGATGATCAGGGGACTGGAGCACCTCCCATATGAAGACAGGCTGAGAAAGTTGGGGCTGTTCAGCCTGGAGAAGAGAAGGCTGCGTGGAGACCTCATAGCAGCCTTCCAGGATCTGAAGGGGGCCTATAGGGATGCTGGGAATGAACTCTTCATTAGGGACTGTAGTGATAGGACACAAACATCAAAATGTTTGACAAGACTTATTTTTCCATAAAGATGTCTTGACTGGCACCAATTATGCTGTCTTCCTTTTATTTTATACTAACTGAATCCCTTATCAGCTTTTCCATTGCTTTGCTTGGGACTTATGCCAGACTAACTGACCTGTAATTACTGTGATCATTCTTCTTCCTCCCTTTGGCTTTTGGCAACATTGTATATTTCTACTGTTTTCTAGCAATCATTGGATTTATAGTGCAAGAGCTCTGTGATATAAAAATATTCATCTCTAATAAAAGGAAATTAACAGTGATTTCCTGGGCAACGTGATGCAAGGGAGTTTATTATCATCGTGTCATGAATAGATGAATATATCATCTTTTTTTTCTTTAAATGCTAATTATTAGAGTGTGTGTCTTCATATGTCTAAATACACTATATATTATCTCTGTCTTATCTATAATATTCATAACAACATTTATTTAAGCAATCCAGTAATGCAGTCATACTATTTTAAGGAATTGCAGGGAAGACAATATGGTTCTGAAAATAAAACCAAAACCAAACTCTATTATTTTTCTTAGTAAAATATATTTCCTTAGCTTTCCTTATCATATGTCTACATTTTTTTCACTGCTAATTTGTACAGATCACTGTCTAATTTGATATATGTATATGTACATATATACAAGTGAGAGAAGGTTTTCCATGTTGTACAGCAATGCTGTGTTCTGTTTTGGCGTTTTCTGCCAAAAAAAAAGATGTAATATCGCAAACACTGTTCATATGTAATCAAATGATCAGAAAAGATGTTCTGATGGAATTTAATCCATTCTGTGCCGAATGGTGTTATTTTACACCCCAGAGCATTTATTCTAGTACGTTCCAATAAAGATCATAAACCACCCTCACCTTAAGCTTCTCTTTGTTTCCTTTTCCATTGCCCTTTTTTTCCTTTGTTTGAACATGAGTTGTTTGGTAATTCTTATTCTCCTAAACTCATTCACTTTTCGTGCAAATGGTCAGTATACTTATATTACTGCACTGATGCATACCAACATAGCTGCTTGAAGCTTGCCAATGATATCCTGACAGCTGAAGCTTACGTTCTCAATTTACTGCGTTTTGTATCTCTCCTGTTTACTGTAGCTTCACAAGAGAATGATATTTTATAAACACCTGGTAATTTAGTTAAAATAAGGAGCTGGACTTTTAACAAGAGAGCATTTTTTTTAAGGCTTGGCATTCAGATATAAAACAGATGTTTATTGTGGCTTTTAAATGTCCAGGAGATCTTGTCAAAAGTGTCTGGCATGTACAGTTATTTTTATGTTATGTATAAGTGTATATTATTCTTTGTTTTCATGTATTAACACATGTATATTATTTCATAAATGAGTTTTGTTTTCTTATTATGGAATAATGCTTTTGGTAATTGCCCACAGCTCTGCATATAAATGTACTCTACGAAAGTGTTTGGATTAAAGATGTCTGGCTGCAGCTTTATTAAACAAACTGTTAATTAATCTCAAATATTATCTAGCATGCC